AGGCACACAAAAAATCCATCATTTGATGTAGCCCAGAGGTGGGAAATTGGAAAAGTGTAATTTTCTCCTCTGTATTTCCTCCACATGGACTCTCCTGGATTATTCTGTGTGGTAGCACCAATCAAATGAAGAAATTAAGCTAAAATGAATAATCACACTGTAAAAAATTAGATGTAGAATTAAAATCCAGAATGGCAGAAATAGGAACGTTTATTTTATCATTAAATAAAGAATAAATAGAGCAGCCTAAACCATAGTTCTGCTTCTTTATCCCCGGGCTGCTTTTTAGTAATTGATCCTATTTTATTCAAAGAGGAATCTATTAAATTGAATAGAATTTGATTTGGATTGAATGACACTTTATCTGTTGAGATGACAGGTTTCATTTATGCTCTCTGAATAAAACTGAGTAGATACAGTAGAAAAAGGAAAGAGGAAGCTGCGAGGGTAATGTAATGTCAGTGGGGTTTGTTTGCATTCACCTCCAATATTCATATTCATCTACCTGAGTCCAAATCAGAAAAATGGCAAAGAGACAGAGTGTGTTTTAAATTACAGCTGGTAGGAACTGTGAAATCAGTCTGTTTTCGCTCAGAAAAAGCTAATCCAGTGTCCTCTGTGCTGATGAAAAGCACGAAAGAAGCATCTGAATCCTTAATTCTCTAGCAGGAAATTCAACCGTCTCCTCCTTTAATCCAGGTAGAATTTAAAAAAACAATCACTGAACTATCAAATCACATCCAAATCATGTTATTTAGAGATGTGTCATGTCAGAAAGCTTAAAAACTAACATACACATGAACTCCACATCTTTGATGGCCCCTCCAGGCCCACTTTGAGCCACCGAGGGGCAGAAAAGCCTACAAGTGGTTGGATGTGAAGATGTTCAGAGGATGCTTTTGTGGATCTTATCCGTTCTTTCTTATAAACCTCCTCCGCTGCTCTACTATAAGTGGACTGCTCATTTTCTCTGGAATTTAAGCCTCCTTCTCATTTGATGAACACTTCTATGCAAAAACAGGCTGGAAAAATTCCCCTATTTTGACTTGGAACTTGAGAATATGTAGATAAAGATAGAAAAAATGTGTTTTTTAAAATCAATAATTCAGTTAATTCCCATTTCAACCAAAAGTAAAGCACTAATAACATTTCAACAGTTACTGAATTCTCATATTTTTCCATCTCAACTTATTTGTCCTCCTCTGACCTGTGAGTCCACAAAATGAAGATAAAAACAAACTAGCACGGACGCGAAATATCACGCAACCTGTGGAGAACCAGACCGTCCCTGAAGAGGGGAAATAAAACAAAAAGATGAAAAAGCCGGCCCACGATGCTCAGGAAGCCCCAGGTGATTCATTAGGGACACGGTCCTGGCCTGATATCCAGAAGCGTCAAGCTAAATTGCCGCAAAGTGAAGGCTAATTAGGCCCATCTCTTAAGCCGTGACATGTTTTATTTATGACAACATTTCTGAGGCGTTTTCTGAATTTATGTGGCGCCACCATGGAAACGGGCAAATTTAACTCTTCTGGTTTAAAGTGTGGATGTCACAGAGTAGTCGTAAATCTCGTTATTGGGCGGAATTAGTGTGTTAATAATGTAAAACTGGAGCTGTTTATGAATATTCATAGTTGTGGTGATAGATCTGGGGGGGGGGCTTTATGACTTGGCTTGTAGCCCAGCCCAAAGAAGAGAAGCTATTCCTCATTTCAACGCGTCACCGTGGACGTCTCATCCATAAAAGCCCCAAAGGGGATTTTTTAAGCTTTTGTGGACACTTTGTAAATGGAAGATGAAAAGAAAACCATTCGATTGCTTTGTGATAGGTGATGTCACAGGCTCCGACCAATCAGGAACGAGCCGGGAGCGATAAAACTGTGAAGGTTAGCAAAACCAGAACAGTTCCAGTTTCAAATCCTGGCTGGGGGGCCTTTCTGTGTGGAGTTTGCAGCTTAATAATGATCAGTCAACAACTGTGTAATTAACCCACATGTCTGCTCACTGTTTAATGAGCAGACATGTGGAAAAGGGATATTTTTAGATTTGTACAATTCCTCCCTATACTGTGAACAACCACCAAATGCTAATGTCTAACGACAAGTAATGAGGCTTAAAATAACCGATTAAGCCCATAAATCCACGGGGTATTTTCTTAAAACAACAATTGCTTTTACGTCTTTGCTTTACAGTTAATCTTAATGACCCAGATTCAGAAAAGTGTTGAACACACACAAATAAATGAATCATTTAATATATCTAGTTTCAGACTTTTACCCAATTCCAATACATACTGAGGCTGAACGTTTACAAGGCCCCTACATTTTCTGTCATCTGTGGCCTCTAAACTGGGATTCATTTAGTCTATGAAGTATCAAACATCATCTGAGGACACGGATGCGGTCCAAACAAATAAACCAGGCTTGCAGCACAGTGGAATCCAATCAAACCAAAATAATCCTGTTAAAACTAGTCCATATTGAGAGGTTACCGAACTAAGAAAACCAAGACATTGCACCAAAACCTCCCTTCAGTCAAATCCAGCATGCACAAGGCGATAGTGGGACGCAAAAACTCATCGGAACCGAGTTATCTCCCTCCACTGTTTGGACTTTCTGAGTATTTCAGCTACTTTAGTTGCATCGCTTCTCAAATCAAAGGTTTGGATATCAGAAACGCATTGTTTCCCTCTGCCTGACTCTCCGGATTGACTTGGTCCAATAGGGCTACTTCCTCAGAACCATTAAAACATTTCAGCTTTATGCTTAAAATCTGTAGAAAATATAAAAATCAAGAGTCTCCAGCAAGCAGTCAAAAAAAAAAGCATCAAGAAACAACAAATTGGCATTCTGCTTGATGCCATTTCAATGTTTTCCTCGTCACACTTGATTCAACTCTGTCTGACAGATTAGCCATTAAACATTAAAATGCCCCTAAGCAAGTCTGGGGGCTCCTCTGGAAGCCCCATAGTTACATTTAAAGGCATGTCGGCTTCGGTAGGACGCCATCATCCGCCTCACACGAGCCCTGCCAACAAAAAGTGAACATTTACGTCATATATGTAATTCATATTGTCCGGGCTGTCATGCTTTTCTTGTAACACAAAACCAACACTGACCCACATCAGGTGCATTTTGAGGGACAAATCAGTAAATGTTTGTTTGCTCTCAGCTCAAATCTCTGTTTTCATGCGTCATGTATTTACCAGCAGGGAAATATTTAAAGAGCAGAAAAAGGCAGAAGAGAGGAAACTATATTTTCATGAGAGAGTAAATCCCTATTTGCATGAATAAGCCAGTGAGCAAAGAGGAGAGAAACACCAACAAGCTCTGGGATTTTCATATTTATGATGCACAGAGTGCATCAGAAAACAGGCAACAGCAGCAGTTTGCTGCTCTCTGCTGGAGAAAAATGTTTTTTTTTAGATGTGTAGAGGTGTGCAGTTATAAATCTGCTCCTACTACACATATTTACATTAAAAGTCTGAAATTTGACTATCCATAAATGTCTTAATTATACATTAACAGGTGGTTAAGGCTTTGAATTAAGTACTTCAAATACACCTGTATGATCTGATAAGTATCTTATAACAATGTTAATAATACATAGAACCCCAAAATGGCTTTAAACGCCTTTAAAATTGTCCTAAATTATTCTTAAGGGTGTTAAACTTTGTTTTAAGCTGTACCTGACCTGCACGTGTTTGTAAAGTGCTTCATGTATCACTCAACAGCCAATGGATATGTCAATACTCCAGAAAACCCTCAAGACTCCGGCAACCAGAGGAGTCAACGAGGATTTCAGCAGATGGTTTGGTAATGAAAAAACAGAAGCAGACATAAAAACGTTCTTGCTCTTGGTTTAAATACAGTGATGACATCTTCACTGCTCCCTAATACAGAGCGCGCCCCCCTTTTATCACCGATGACCCCATGAGGCTCTGACCGATGACCCCCTGAGGCTGGGGCCCTGGAGGTATGCAGCCGGTCAGCAAACACACTTCATTTTACTTTTCGCCTTTAAATTTGGTCTATTTTTTCTTTTGTGTGGCCAAAGAACATTTGAAGGTGTCCTGGAGCGCTCAGAAAAAAAGCACCAATCTCCACCTTTGGGGGTCCAAAGCTCTCTGAGGTGGTTCCCTCAAAGATCCTAATGCTTGTATTCCGTCTGTTTATCTCTTGGAACATAAGTGCAGCTTTCAAAGCCTCTAAAAGCACAAATAAGTGACTTTAGGGTCCAGCTGTTGGCGGAACAGGGTCCACAAGTGGAGAAAAAAAAGCCTCAGGAGACACGAACTAGCTCATATTGTGCTCCTATTTGTGACTGTGTACCAGCTTTAGAAAGGGATACTCAGGGCTCAGTTTTGGGGTTTGGCAGATTGCTATTTGGAGAGTTCAAAGGTCGGGGGAACACTTCTTCTTCGGGTTCTTCCACTGGTGGGACCAGTAAACCGAGAGCTCGGCCTCCCATCTCAGCCCCCTTTTTACGGCGCAAACTGAGCCCCGATTGGTCACACTCAGATTTCCTTTCCCCCACCAACAAGATCCTGAAAGGCTTAGAGACTCCTCCGTCTGAAGGGGGTTCATCTTTGACCTAAAGGGAGAATTCCTCTCTCCATATTCTTCTGACCTATATACATGGAAACAGCCTTTAGCTGCCTGGAACACTGTGAAAAGCTCAAAGAGAAGAAATCACTTTTAAAAACCCCGGCAGTTCATGAAAATGCTGCTCGGTAAACCGTCCTACCCGGATTCCAAATCTTTCTCTCCCCAGCTATTAAGTCACCGTGATGCCTGCTTGTTACTTTCACTTAATTAATGTTTCAAAGGCCCCGGGTGTTGCCTAACAGAGCGTGCACCTGTATCGGCTTACAATGTTGAAATAAAGAGCACGGATTAATATTTGATTTGGAGCACCAAGGCGGAGCAGGGGGGGGGGGGCAGCAAACCTTTCCATTTCAAACCACCACTGTGGACAAATCAACTCAGGAAATATGAAAGAGGATTCCACTTTTATTCATGAATGATTTTCCATTCAAGGTTTTCGGTAAATAGCTCTTGGCTTTAAGTACCAAAGCCTCGTACTTCATCCACTGGAGACGGGTCGAAACTGGATTTCCTGAATAGTGTCCCAAAAAAAAAAAAGACAAACCACTTAGCTTTCTGTTCTACATTTACATTCGACAAGAATCCTGAAAAGTGCGAACAGGAGTTAACGAAAGCAACAAAAAGTCCTTCAGGCTCAGACTCTGGTTTTAGCTCCCAGATGAGAACACTGGTTTTGAAAAAGAAAAAAAAGAAGAAGTTCAGTTCCACCTTTAAAACAACCAAATCAAATAAATCCCTTTAAAACAAGTGGGAAAAGTTGTTTTGTGCTATCTCCATTTGGCCCCCAGGCTCTTCAGATGTGAGGATGAGGAAGAAATAGATCAGACTCCCCGCGTTTTCTAACTGGTTGGATTGATAAATAATGATCCAATCTTGCCAGTTCAATCAATTAGTTCTAATGAGTTCTTCGGGCGGTCTACATACCGAACACAAAACAGCACAAAGCACATAACAAACACTCGGCTCCTTATTTCTAACCCTCCTCAGCATTAAAGGAAACTCCAGACACGTTCAGTAAAGAGTTTAATGGAACCTCGGCTCAAAATTACCTTTTTTAAGCCGCTTTCCTGGATGCAGATCGCCAAACTCCTCCACATGCAACGATTACAACGTACCGACATGAATCACATTCCTACAGAGTCCTGCGAGAGCCACTGGCTTTATCAGAATCCTCTCCCCTTCGGTTTGGTCTCAGAGCTCACTGGACTGATGACCACTGGTTTCTATTCGGCTCAGGTTTATGAATAACTGCAAGAAATGTAGTTGAAATGGGACGGAAACGCGGCCCCTGATAGGCCACCTACGACCATCACCACCCACTAAAGAGGCCTTCCACCTCAAAGTGCAATTAAAAACATCCTATCAGACTCATATTGATGTGGATTTGAGCAGAATTTCAAACTTATGACATGATTTAAACTGAGCGAAAAGCGGCTGATCCATTTCAAATCTGGAGTTTGGGTTTGCAGTTTCTCTTTGCCACTATTTCTTATTAAAAATCTAACCTCAATTCAGTTGTTTTGCCAAAACGAACTGATGAGGTGACGTCATACGGAGCTGCTTTTTCTCATCTGTCGGACTTTGGGTTCCCTCATTATGTAAAGCCACTCCTGATTCTATTCTTTTTCAGGACCAGAGAGCAGGAAAATAAGCTAAAAGCAGAACAAAACAAAAAAAAAGTGATATTTTAAGAGCGGGGGTGGAAGTGAGAAGAGTGGAACTAGGCAAACTCAACAATACATGTCGTTATTTTCTATGATTTCTATTAGCTTCCATAAGACGAGGGACTTATTTAAGCATTGATGTAACATTATTTGTGTTATGAAAAAGTATTTCTAACATTCTCCTGTTTGATTGACTTGTTGAGAGCCAGATAAAGAATAAAAGCAGTCAGCGTTTTTGTGCGTATTACCATTATTATCCCACAGACACCTGTGCATCCAGGCCTCTTTGGGGTCGAGTTAACAGAAAATGCTGACAGACGCTGAGCAGAAAATAATAAAATGACTGAGAGATTTGCAATTAATGCATTTCTAATGTACATGGAAATGAAGAAGGTGGCTCCATTTTCAGATCTAAAGCAGGCCTAACGTACCGGACTGCATTATCCTGCTCAGGCGTACCGTGTTTGTTGGTAAATGTGTGTATCATCTGGACCAGAGGAGCCAGGACAAACCAGGACAAGAGTTCTCCAAATATGGGCACGGCCAGTTAAAAATAAGCCCCGGCTCACTTCCTGGTCTGGACCCGGGAGCTGAGCGGAGGGCCAGATTTAAACCTCGTGGTTTCTGGTGTCTCGCCTCTGAACAAACACAGCAGCGTGTCATTACACACAAAATAACCTGGGACGCGGCCTCATTCTGAAACTCCGTCTTCAACAGAAAAGGCCATTAAACGTTGTCCTTTTTCTGTAAAAAGAAAAGAAAAAAAGCCCCAAAGTTTTTTGTCAACGTGGCGTTTTCCCTCCGTCTTCCTTCCGCAGCGTCCCGGTCTCTGATTGGATGACGGAGTCCCCGGGTGGGCGTGGCCAAGCCACGGGGGACACGGGGAGGGAGGCGACCTCCTCTGGGGGGCGTCAGTACTTATTAATCCCAAAAAGCCTGACGCCGTGCAGCTGGGGCAGCTTGGGGATGAGCACCGTGAGCAGGGAGACGGTGTTGACCACAAAGTGGACGCGGTCGTATTTGGTGTAGAAGCTGGTCAATATGTACCTGAGTCAGAGAGAAAAGCAGTTAAAAGCGAGACAACAAACAAATAAAGAAATAAACAAACCGCAGGGCATTTCCAGGAAGGAGAAACACGTCTTTTGATCATTCTAAAACGCTCCCCCCCTCCCATGTTTACATCCGGGCGTCTGAGGGCCTGAGGGGCGGGGCTTAATCCGGCCACCGCCGGGACTGTTTGCAGTCAAACAGCTGGGGATTTTTTGGGGGATCTGGGAACGAGCGATCCTACGAGTTCCCAGCCCGGCGTGTTAATTCAAACAAAAAAAGGATCCCAGAACCCCCCCAATCCAAAACAAAACGCCGAACGAGTGCAAACACGAAGCGTACAAATGCAAAAACTGCCCCCCTCCACAGTGGTTTTCCCCGTTTTCCCCGGTTTCCCCGGTTTCCCGGAGTCTTTCCCGGGACCCGGTTCAGGCCCGGCGGGCGGCTCCACTCACAGGACGATGGGGGTGATGGTGAGGAACTTGCGGGAGGCGGTGAACTGCACGCCGTAGTCCATCTGCTCCCAGTGCGTCAGCAGGCGGGCCTTGCCCTGGTCGGGGGTCTCGAACGGCGTCCCCTTCACCGTGTGGAGCAGCAGGTACATGCACTGGAGGGGACAAGAGACAAAGTCCAGAGACAAGAGACAAAGTCCTGAGGAGGGTCCCGGAGCTGTGAGCCGGGCTGATAGGAAACAGGCTCCGATCGCTCATAGAGGCTTTAACGTTTCAACTGAATGACGAACCAGCAACATCAAATCCGGTATCAGACTTTTACCACAAAAACAAGGCAGGAATCCACAGTTTGTGAGCATGAGACCGGGATAAACTAGATATGTCCCGATCCAGCTTTTTGCACTTCCGATCCCGGTCTATCAGAGCTTGTATTAAAGTTTAAAGTTATTTATCTACTTACTTAGTTGTCAGACTCATGTTGAACAGGGATTTACTTTGATAACAACTTAATGGTTAGGACACAGACCTGTGGGTTAGGAGATGCTAATGCTAATGCTAATGCTCGTGTGGGATCGGACTGGATCTGGAGTCTGGATCTGGATTTTCTCCTACCGGCCAATACGTATTTTTTTGCTAACATCGGCGGCCGATCCGATCCAGAGGTTAAACATGAGCCAAAGCAAGAGGCCCGTCCAGCCGTGGCTGGTCCTAACAGGCCAAAAGTACCCAGCATGCACCCCTAGCCCACTGACCAGGTTGTGGATGAGGTTGGTGAGGGTCCAGACCACGGGCACGCTGACGAAGGGGATGCTGAGCAGGATGACGTGCAGGAGGCCGATGCCCAGGACGTAGGAGAGCCACATCCCCCGGCTGTTCATCACCCGGGTGTTGGGGTTCACCTCGCTGTGCGCCGTGCCCACGTTCATGGCTCCCGACGCGCCGCCTGCACGGGAACCTCTGGAGGGATCCGCCCGCTGAGACACAAACACAGAGGAGCCTTTTAACGCACAAAAAAGCATCCGATAAACCGCACAGAGGCCGGTTAACGGGCTAATCTGACTGGTGGGCTCCTGGAAAATGGGACAGCACTCTATAGAAGTCTCTTTTTTTCTTCAGAAACACGGGAACATGTCCAGCAGGGTGCTAAAAATTTACAAACAAACACAACCCTCCCTAAATTCATATCAGGATGATGGCGTTGGTTGTAAAATGTTTTTTATTAGACCGTTTTTAAAATGATTTAAGCAGCTAGCAGTGCACATCGAAGCCTAATGAGCAGAATATAAATGACCGTTTAGCCGTCCGACAGAAGAGAGTTAAATTTATGTGGATGAGAGCAGCTTTGTGAGCAAATAATCTCTGAAAACAATCTTAAAATTGACTAACTTCACAAGAGATGTGAACAGCTGGGTCCATTTGGGCGTAACCGAGCTCATATAGGAGAGATTAACTCCACAACCAAATGAACCAGGCTTTGTGGGCTCTGATTTCAAACCGACTGCTTTTGCCGTGCCCAGAAAAGCGCCGATCGGGTCCAAGTAACACAATATTTGTGTTAACCGGCTGACTTTACATGGTCTATAGGTTTCCCAAACAGAAGCACATTCCTCTGAAATGGTCAGGGACAAAGACTGGACTGAGAGAAAGAGCAGCCGGCGTCCAGAGAAAAACTCTGAAAGAGAGAAAGGCTGGAGAGCTGTTGCTCCAGAGCACTTTAACAGATGACAGGGAAATCTGTCTGCCTGGAGGCTAAACAATAACGAACTTTACAGAAAGAGGGCGTGAAACGTGAATGGTGCGTGCAGTATGTGGCTGTAAAGTCATCCTGAAGCATCCTGATACCTTCAGGAGAAGATTTTAGCGGACACCTGCAAGCCAATCAGAGAGCAGCGTTTTCCACGGCCTGGTGGGGAAACCAGCAGAGATTTAGTGGCAACATTAGCTATTGGGAACATTCCTGGGAAACTGATTGACCAGAGTCAATTAAAAAAAACAGGGATGGGGTCATTCTGCAAGTTGGAGACTGGTTACAAAGACCTGCAAGCTAGCAGCTCTAAGTTAAAGGCAAGCTAACGCATGCTAGTCAGAGCAGAGGGAATAAATCTCTAGATTTACGGCGTGGAAAATGGATTCAACTCCGACCTGTGAGGGGGCTCTGAGTCCGTTAGCAGTTTTTTTTTTCCTTTAGTGATCGATGCGCTCCGTTATGTAACGGATACTATCACCGGGACGTCGGCGGGATCCCGGCGCTTTCCGTCAGCCGCACGGCGCCATCCTCCGGGCTCCGCACGGGGCTCCGGGAGCGACCCTCAGACCGTCGGTGAGCCAGTCCACCGCGAGGCATCCGCTTTCGGTCCGTTTTCTGCCCCACAGCTGGCGTGACAACACGGCAGTCCGCCGCGAAACGTCACCGGCCCCGTTCCGCGGCTCCACACACCGGGGGGAAGGCTCAGGGCTCATCGATCCCCGCGCTGATTGGCCGGCCTGAGTCACGTGGTCTGCGACGGCCTATCGCGGTTTAAAGCGGGGAGGTTGCGTGGAACACGCCTCCGTGACGTCACGTCAGGGGGCGGGATTAAGGGGGATGATTGACAGCTGGAGACTTATTTTAATAACGGAAAGCTCTTGAACGCAGAAACATTTAATTAGGTCATTTTAAAATGTTCTCTAAAACATTTTATGGCATGTGTTATACATTTATAAATGTGTGTTTCTGTCATAATAAGTAAAATGTGAATTTCTTCCAATTTATTTTAGGAAAAACATCAGAAATAGAGGAAGCAATTATCCATTTCTGAGAAAAGTCACTGAGTGAAAACAGGAAATTATCACAAAATATGCAAAGCATACATTTACCAAGCAGAAAAATACCTAACGTACCATCTTCTCCATTTATCAATTTATTATTTTATTTATATATGTGACTGGCATGGAAATCCCAAACTCACAAAAAGCAGAAACAGCTTTAATTTAAACTTCATCTAAATAAATGAATGAATATACTATTAAGTTTAAGTTGAAAAATCAGTAAACCAATATTTTGCCACTTTAGTCACCTGTACTCATCTCTAAGTCACTGAACTAACATTAAATTAAAATTAAGATATATGCATATGCTAATATTTAGCTCTATTTCAGCATTCATGAGGTAACAATAAACTAATATAAGGCTTACATTAAATTGAATTAAGATAACAAGTCTAAAAACACTCATATTAAGTTCACGTTCAGCTAAAATGAGCTCATATCAAGGTATAATTAAGCTATTAAGCTAATATTTAGCTAACATTTGCATAAGAAAAAGGTTTTCTTAAAACGAAATTAAGCTAACATAAAGCTAATTTATACAACAAAAGCTAACATTTAGCTAACTGAAAGGGCAGCTGACAGATGAGTCTTGGGTCCTACAGATATTCAAGATGAAGATGCCACAGGATGCATATTTCAACTTAATATCAAATCAAAAGTGAAACAATAAAGCTAATTCTATTTCCCTTTGTGTTTTTCAAACACATGACACCAGAGAAACGGTTTATCCTGAGAGGACGAGACATTGTTAGTAAATCTAACATTTTCAGGAATACTTGAATCTAATAAACCCTCCTTCGGACAGCCGACTATTGTGGAGTCATGGCTATAAATAAGACTGTCCCCACTCTCACAAAACAGGAATGAAAGGCATGTGAGATAAGGCTGAGGGTATGTGTTGCACCTTATTAGGAGCTAATGGGTTCTGTTTGGTGGAAACAGATAAAGATACTGGTGCCTATTTTAATGTCTGCCTGTGAAACAGTCCATTCCTTCATTTCTTTTAAATGACTGTCACTGTTCACTGCTCTAATTTCCCACTTAACATCATTGTTACTTTATTTGTTTACACTGAAATACCTTTTGTTTTGCATGTCTACCTGAGAATGAGAAAGGTTTTAAAAAGCAGGCGCAGGGGATGGATCACTGCTGTAGATCCATGTTAATTTATTGTCCGCCTTATGATGATTTGCCACTGGGCTTCTTGTTGGTACACAAAAGGAGGCCCTTCACTTCTTATGTATCTGACGTGGGAGACAGCCTGGCCGGAGGCGCCAACATCCACAGACGGAGCTGATACTTCGCTCCCAAAAATCAAAGCTCAACGGTATCATGTTCAAGACACAAAGATAAGTCCAAATCCTAATTTAGGCCCGCGGCCGCCCGGGGCCAGAAAGGGTCAGCGGTGTTCTGCTTACATGCAACGTTATGCGACACTCAGAGTTTGAAAGGACAGTGATGAGTGGCGTCGAACAGGTTTGGACTCTCTCATGCGCTCGCAGCCTCAGGTGCTGGAATTGTGTGAGCTGTGTAAACCTAGAGCTCAGTCTGTGGATGACAGAGCAGTGAGGTCATCTCTGGAGGAGGCAAAGGGAGAAAAAACACCAAAAGAGGAAGGAAAATAGTAACGTGCACCATGTGTGTGTATGCGTTTGTTATTGCTGGTATAACCTGGAAGGAACTTAAACAAATTGAGCTGATGAATCTAAATTTGCTGCATGAAAATGCAGCACAAATATTTGCAACTACTGGGACAATATCTAACCAAAAACCAAGCCAAATCCATACACAAAAAGGTAGTCTGCTCATCAAGTTCTGGAGACTTTGGGGGGAATAATTGCTCCCACAGCGTCTCAAACATTTCTTATCTTCTATTATTGTTAACTGGATTAATGTAATATAACAATTTTATCATTTTGTGAAGAAAAAAGTGTAAACAGTGATTAAATATCTGGGTGTTTTTGGGGTTATATGAGCAGGAGACTGGCTGGAGGACACCAGCAGATGTCAGCCTCAACACAGCAAACTGCCCCCCCATCCGGAGGTCTGACGACTGTAGTTCACGGCTGCTCACACACAGGGTCGCAGGAATGATTTAAGCTTTGATTTTGGGTTTTTTTTCTGTCTTTGGAATCGGGCCTCAGAGCGGCTCCATTAGCCTCAAAGAAATTTATGAGTTTTGATGCGTCGGAGTTGAAAATGCATTAACTTTTATTTATTTTTTGTCATGTTCGAGGGATTGAAGTTGTCATTTTCCACCAGAAAGCGGGTCAGAATGGTTTGGTGAGAATAAAACCGCTCATAAACTCAGCACGTAGTGTCATCTGTGCTCAGCTTTACTCTCTTTCGGGATTTATTCGAGCTGCTGTTTCACATTAACGCCGCTTTCTGGAGCTCTGCTGGAGAACCCAATTCAAGCTGGTCAAATGTGAAGAAGACGAGAAGAAAAAAAAACTTAAAAAGACTAAACTAAATCAGTGTCGTGCTTCAGATTAGGGGAGAAACTCAGAAGCGAGGGGGAATAAAACCATGTCAGTTTTCGGCTGGTGATGTAAACAGGCCCTTTGGGGTCGATGGCGGCGGGGCAGTTTTGGGGCCGTGAAAGACGCTGCTGGGGCATTTCTCCCCGACAGGAGGGGTCGGACTTGTGACCCAGGCGGGCTTTGGACGACAGCCGGGCTGGAAAAGGCTGACGCAGGGAGTCCATTATTGGCCCTCGGAGGAAGCTGAGGATTAGAACACCAAAGAATTTCAATAAAAGAAGTGTCTGTTTGGGGGTCGGGGAGGGGCAGGAGGATGGTGGAGGATAGCAGAGGTGGTGGGGTGGGGGGGGGGGGGGGGGGGCCCCCCCCCCCCCCCATTGTCCCGACGGTGATTGAGAGCAAAGGGAGGGGAGGCGGATGGCATTGTGTTGGCAGCCCCTGTGAAGAAGCCGATTATTAGGGGAGATGGATACGGAGGGGCGAGGGCTGTTGACTCTTCATCTTGTGTGAACAAAGTCTCCGGCTCTTAGCCCTCTTACGGCACTCAGTCCTGGACTCCCTTGTTTTTACGAGTGCCCCCCCCCCCCCCATAACCCCCCGCCATCGCCCCAAACTCCAACCTGCGCCGCCATACATTGTCGGGCTTAAGTGGCCTTTAATTAGGACGGCCTCAGTGTCCGGCTGAAGGCTCCTCACACAGGATGAAGTGTTAGCTGCTCTAATGAAAAAAGATTTATTCGGGGGGGGCTGGGTTTTGGGGTTTTTGTCATCTTTAACCGTGTAAGGAGACCTTGGCACTTGTGTGAAGCCCGTCGCGCACAGGGTTGACATTCTTGATTTTGTTTATTTAATACATGTACAGTTTTAAAAACAAATCAATATTTAAACATGATATCAGCAAAAAAAGGTAAAACTTTGCAGGAATCCGCAGAAAAATTCGCTCATTTTATGATTTCTTATAGTGTTTGAGTCAGTTTTCATACAGAAATTGTGGTTATTGTGGTTTAATATTGACCCAACCCCCTTCCAACTCATCTGTTTCAAAAAAGTCTGTAATTAATCTTTAACACGGCTTCATTTCCAGGACACGTTAGCTCTGTCAGAAGTTCCCAGACAGAATTTACCAAAACCAAAAAAACTTTTATGTTGATAGGAATGGATGCATTAAATGGAATTGTATGGTGCCAAAATCCTTTTCTGGATTTTTTTTCTTTTCTCAGCTAGGTTGTTGGTTTTTGACGTTGGGAGTGCAGGTTGAACACAGATAAGTGTACTTTTATTTTTAATAAGGGAGCCAGACCATCTCCACTTTGCCTCTATTTCTCATACTTAAAAAGAAAGATCTTGAATAAAGCATTGGTAAATTTAAATGAGATGTTTTTGTGTTTTGAAAAAAAATCTATATGTACATACTTTTTGGCTTGATTTGGGTTCATCAGTTGTGTAAATTCTAACCAGAAAACCATGTAAAGACAATAGGATTCAATGGGAGGATTCACTTCCTCCCCCCCGCTCCCCAAAAAAGTACCAGGACGCCATCTCGTGAGGTCGAACGCTCGGGATGAACCTGAAACCGGTTCTGGTGGGGCCCGATTCCGTATCAGGACGGCCAAAAAATCCCCCCGAGGAGCCGAAGGGAGACGGGTCGGCCATTTTTGGACGCCGCATCGTGAGTCAAAGCGGGGACATAAACAGGCAAACCGGAGGGGTAAAGTTAGAGGTGGCCGGACGGGGATTGGGGGGGGGGTTCGGGGGGGGGGTGGGGGGGGGGGGGGGGGGGGGGGGGGAGTGGGGCGGGAGTGGGGCGTGCTCAGAAACCTTCTCGCTCCAGCCCAATGTGTGTAGATACCCTCCTAATCCTGGTTTTATTGGCTGCCTGTGTCCAGCCATGCCAGTCGGATTGAGAGGGAAGGGTGGTGAGGTGGAGGGAGGTGGGGGGGGGGGGGGGGGGGGGGAGGAGGAGGGGGGTGGGCTTAACACATGTCCTCCTTTGTGGTAATACGCTGATTAGGCCTGAGAAAGGAGCCGGACCTGGTTACTGCCTTTCTCAGGT